TCTCTAGGAAGGAGAAGTTGGCTAGGAGCATGTACATAGGGGTATGGAGTCGATGGTCCCACCTCACTGCACAGATGATGGCCATATTCCCAGTCAGAGTCAAGATGTAGACCAACAAAATCATTGAGAAAAAGATGATCCGAATTTTCCAGGGACCAGGAAAGCCCAGCAAGACAAACTGTGTCACAGTAGATATCTGTGAGTTATTCATGCTTCCCAGACTGTGGAGAGAACACAGATAGGCAATGACAATTTACTTTGCTGATGAAGCATCTTGAAGCTTTTTTTGGGATAAGGAGTTTGACTCTTGCAGGTGAATATATTGGATATTCTAAAAGAATTCTTAAGCAAACCCTGATTTATCTTTCTTGAATGAGTCCTTTGGGTCTGATTCTTTGAATCAGGTTGTTTGAATTTTCTGTGGCATTGGACAAAAATCAACATTTCATCTTCTTTTGATATATAAAGAAATTCTTGAAATAGAGGAAAAATGGTTTGTTTTATATCTAATTTGTTTCTCAGTGAAAGATGTTCATATATAGCAATACTTTAGTGTTCTTCACTTCAAAATATGAAGACATATGCCATCATTTTTAATATATTCAAATCTGAGACTTTTTACAGCTTTGAGTGGTTTGTGCTTTGACATTATTTCAGATTCTTTCTTTCTGGAGCTATTTCTATTAGGAGAATTTATTTTCTTCCAATTTTTTTTTGTGATACCAGGAGAAAGTCAACAAGGATATTTAGATGATAAAATTCTTTATATATTTTGCTTTTTCCTATTTACAGACATTTATATTGTACTACAGTTTATTTACAATTTGGTATTTAACCATTTCCTTTCAGCACAAAATGTCACAATTATTCATTTCCTGGTGATTAATTTCACATTATAATTTATCATGCTCCATATACATTTAAAAATAAATATTTCATTAAAGATGACATATAAGATATATTAGAGAAGAAAACTACAGTTCCTGGGGTATTTTCTTCTAAAGCTCCTTTTATTACTTTTGCCAGAATTTTCTCTAAAATTCGCTGTAAGATCTTTCTTTAGTCCATGTAAAAGAATAGCCCCCAAAGATTCAAAAAACAAGATACAAGAGAATCAAAGGTGTTATTTCAAATATAATTATTTACCCATTTTCCAAAATTTGGTTTGTTTTCTTTAGAACACCATCACCAAAGAAGATATATTTTCAAGAATCAGATACAACTCCAAGAAAAGAATAAATGATAGCTTTAACAAATGGGACTCTTCAGAAAAATTTTAACAAGTTACCTTTAACTTTTTTGACTGATAAGAGGATAATTTGCCTTATATTTTTTTCAATTAAAAGTAGCACATATATAGTATTTGATTGAACTGGTGTGTGTGTGTCCGTGTGTGTGTGTGTATGCATATATATAGTATTTATATACTCATTGAACATAATCAAATAGAAAAAAACCCTCCTATTCAGTGAAGCGCATATATATGGTATTTACAGTACTCACTGAACATAATCAAATAGAAAAAACCCTCCTATTCAGTGAAGCGCATATATATGGTATTTACAGTACTCACTGAACATAATCAAATAGAAAAAACCCTCCTATTCAGTGAGGTTATATTAAATAAGAAATATATTTATGATCATGAAGCTGTTGCAGTTAGTAATGCACAAGGTGAACTATGAATCTACCCATCTAGAAGGAAATGTAAACTTTTTCATAGAGCTGGTTTTGCAAAAGATTGTAGTCTGGTGGACAAGAAGCCAAAAAGAGAAAGAAACTGCAAGATGGGGATCAGTAATTTTTAATTTTTTAAACTAGGATGATTATGAAGAGCTAAGTTAAACCTGCATCAACGGTCATTTTCGTAAGACATCATAAAAGAATGGTTCCCCACTATGGGTATTCTATACATTCTCCTTCTTTCCGAGCAAGAAACCTCTCTCCTCAACAAGATGAGAAAGCAGCGATGCAGGGAGCAGTCACTTGTGCTTGGAACAGAGAAGGAGCAACAATGATTTTGAACTCAGATTCACAGACTTTGACCCAAAATCAAAATGCACAAGACTGAGCTGCTTCTTTGAGCTCAGACTACATTCATTGACATTAAAAACAACAAACAAAAACCTTGCAGAAAAACGATTTGCCACAGGGAAAGCATGGTAAATAAATATCACAGATAATTTCCAACATAATTTTAAGAAATGGTTCCTAATATATTCACCACTAAATCTATGTGAGATCTTAGTCCTCAAAAACCTTGATTTTATCTTTTCTTTTTTTTTTTTTAAATGTCACTTCTCCTGAAGGTGCAGAATGAGTAATGAAAGGGACAGGGAGAGGAAAACTGAGAGAGAAGATTAAAAAGAATTTCCAATTTTCTGTTGGTTTTAGTCCCAGTGGATAAAGCTAATTCCATACTATTAAGCTCAAAATCTCTACAAATGTCATAGCATTCCTGGTGCCTCGGCTCTTCCTGAGAAGGAGAAGACCTGTGGATGACTAGTGCACTTATTTTGGAAAGTGTGAATTGCATGGTGATCTAAATACTCTGAGGGATTTTTTTTTTCTTTTGGTTTTTGAGCTGAAAGATAAACCAATATTTTTTGATACTCAACCTCTGAAGCATGTTGAATGAAGAAATGTATAGGTGAATAGTTCCTCTGTGGTGTATAACAGCAGCAACACCCAACAAAGAATACCTGTCCTACATACCGGGAAGCTTTCCTAGGTCATCCCGGAGAGAGCCTGCAGGGAGGCCACATGGATTCTCTCCTTCACTGGCTCTAATATGGAAGTCCTGTGTGAGAGCTTCACCAGTGGCTCATTTCACTTCTCTTGTACCCTAAGATTCTAGTGGCTTGTTTCTCACTGAGGGTGTTGAACTATGTGTTGGTCTTAATTTATGCCTCATTTGAGCCACTGTTGAGAATTCTCTGGTCTCCTTTCATGTTCATGTGATTCTGTAACTTTCTGTGCTGTCCCTAAGGACCTTCATACATCTTACCTGGGGGTTTAATTGATATTTTTGTTAACATTTCCTATAGGGATTATTTAAAATAACATGTTACATTAACTCTGAGGAAACCCCACGGTCTCCTTGAGTTGTGCTCAAACAGCATGTGCTATGGGATATGTAAGACCCCAGACTAAATGTCTTCCTGAGGGGCCAATTTTACCTAGAAAGGTAATTTTATATCACACTAAATATGTATGTACTATGAATTAGGAAGTATAATTTATGATAATTTTTGAGATAAAACTTTGAATTTAAAGAAATATTATCCCCCAATGCCCCGTGTTCTCTGACCACTGTTGCTAAACATGCTTTGGTGGAAAGATTTGAGAAACACGGTATGAGAGCATTATATCACTTAGCACCGGCAGGCCCATCTTCCTTGCATGCCTGATTTCATTGTGGGGTGGCCATAACTAAAACGTGTGTTTTCATTTTAAGTAGATTCGACTCTCAGTTGATGGCCTCTTTGTTTCAGCATAGAGAAACATTTTATTTCAACAAATGAAATTTGTTCTTGGCATAATTTTCTCTGAATATTTTTCTAACTTAGACTTTGCCCTACAGCCTCTGAGAGGCACCTGATGCTTTGTGGTTAACATGAAAACTGCTAGGTACAAATAATGTTTAGGGCATTGTTCCGTAGTATAAGTAATATTGGGGTTGTCACAACTCATTTAGAGAGGAAGTACTATGAATAAAGATATCCAGTTGGGAATAAATATGTTTGAGGACTGATCATGAAGTACAAGACTTGTACAGTGGATCACTAGGAGAGAAAACTGAATGGAGCAGTCTATTGAGTGAAGGCTTTGAATGGCACAGAGTTTGGTTTTCATCTCTAAGGGATAGAGGTATGAAGCATAGAGGTTTAAAGCGTACTCTGTTCTTGGTGTGAAAGACAACCTCAAACAATGGAAGATGTCTATTACTACTTTTTTTTTCTGGTGGCCTCTTGACACACAAATATTCTTTAAGAATATGTATTTTCTGGCTGTGTGGTGTCTCACGCCTGTAATCCCAGCACTCTGGGAGGCCAAGGGAGGGTGGATCACCTGAGGTCAGGAGTTCAAGACCAGCTTGGCCAACATGGTGAAACCCCATCTCTACTAAAAATACAAAAATGACCCCGTCTCTAGTAAAAATACAATTAGCCAGGTGTGGTGGTGGGTGCCTGTAATCCCAGCTACTTGGGAAGCTGAGGCAGGAGGATCACTTGAACCCGGGAGGTGGAGGTTGCAGTGAGCCAAGACTGTGCCATTGCACTCCAGCCTGGGCAACAAGAACAAAACTTTGTCTCAGAAACAAACAAACAAATATATATATTTTTTCTGAATTGAAAAGATCTCTCTCTTTTTTTTTTTTCTTTTTAGATGCAGTCTTGCTCTATCATGCAGGCTGCGGGGCAGTGGCGTGATATCAGCTCACTGTAACCTTTGCCTCCCAGGTTCAAGCAATTCTCATTCCTCAGCCTCCTGAGTAGCTGGGATTACAGGTGTGTGCCATCATGCCCAGCTAATTTTTGTATTTTTAGTAGAGACAGGGTTTCATCATGTTGCCCAGGCTGGGGTTGAACTCCTGATCTCAGGTGATCCTCCCCCTTTGGCCTCCCAAAGTGCTGGGATTACAGGCATGAGCCACCGTGCCCAGCCAGATCTCACTCTTTTGAAAGGCTTCAGTACACATGCAATTGATTTCTTCCGTCAGCTAAGATTAAAACTAGCAAAGATACATCACAGAAAAATAATATACATATATATACACCCGCCCACCACGTAACTGCTCAGTGAGGCCACATATGTTTAAAATGTTTTATTTAGCGTTGGCATTTATCATTAATGAGCTGAACTTAACTGCTAAGGAACTGTGAAAGATAAGTCTCTCTACCTGAGTGTGAGCCAGAACATATTACTGAAGCTACTTTCTATAGTTATAAAAAATTAGCGTCAGAAGTGGCCAATTTGGCTTCTTTTTCAAAGATATCTCAGTTTCGACTAACTGTTAACCCCAGGACTCTCTTTAGAGCATCTTTCATGTCTTTGTTTCGAAGACTGTAGATAAGGGGATTTAAGAGTGGAGTCATTGCTGAGTATACCAGAGTGATGATCTTCTGCATTGCTGCTGGGTTCCCTGATGTTGGGCTCACATACATCACCATAAGGGTTCCATAGAATAGAGACACCACCATTAGGTGGGACCCACATGTGGAGAAAGCTTTAGTTCGACCAGCACCAGAGGAAATACGAAGCACAGCTCTGATGACCAAAGTGTAAGATCCCAGGATGGAGAGGAAGGGCCCAAAGATAATCATCGAGTTGAAGGTGTAACAGATAAGCTCAGTGGAAGGAGCAGAGATGCAGGCCAGTGCAAACAATGGGCCTGGGTCACACACAAAGTGGTCAATGATGTTGGGCCCACAGAAGGGAAGCTGGGAAATAAGAACAATAGGGACTGGATAGCAGAGAAATCCACCTACCCAACATACACAGACCAGAATTACACAGAATTTCCCAGTCATGATGAAGGGGTAGTGTAATGGACGACAGATGGCCAGGTACCGATCATAAGCCATAACTGATAAGAAGAAACACTCTGTTGTACCCAGTGAAAAAAAGAAATAGAATTGCAGGAAGCAGCCAGAGAAGGAGATGGTTTTAGTCTCTGAGAGGATATTGACTAGCATGTTTGGGACAGTGGAGGAAATGTACCAGATCTCTAGAAAGGCAAAGTTTCCCAAAAGGATGTACATGGGTGTGTGGAGCCGCCTGTCCCATTTCACTGCACAGACAATAGCTCCATTCCCTAGCAGTGTCATGAGATAGAGAACAAGGATGAATGAGAAGAAGCAGCTCTGCATCTCTCTTTGACCATGGAAACCCAGGAGGACAAACTCAGTCACAAAATGCGTTGTTCTGTTCTGGGGTCCCAAAGCTGTTAGAAAAACAGAAGTAATCAAAGAATGAATAATAAAGAACATTTGGAGATTTTGCTAACTCATGCTGGATGATGTACTATTTTTACACACGTTATCTCATTTGGTCTTCCTAATGACTCTTTGAGCTGCGAGGAGGTATTCTTTACCCTTCTCTTTCACAGACAGGGTAATTGAAGTTCAAAGAGATTTGAAGGGTTCACTTAAACATATGTACAAAGCCAGTAATGCCCAGATACACTGGCCTATTTGGAGATTGGTTTGGAACAAATCACAATTCACTTCAAATGTCTCTATAACCCTGAGTCTCAGTAATGTTTCGTCTTTAATGGTAAAATCATTGCCCCTTAGATACTCTACATATAAATATAAACTTTGGACACATCCTTTTACCTTAAAGCAAAATTGAGTATAAATCTGAAGCAAAAATAGCTGCTATATTAAATTGCCTTCTTACAGCCTCATATGTAGAAGTCCAGTAACAAGCAGATAGGAATAAAACTTTTGGGAGTCTTCAGCTCCCTTCCTTTTGCTACTCTCAGGGAGGTGCTGCAGAACCCTCAGGAATCTGTAAAATGGTTTGAAAGCTACAAATCTAGTTCCCCCTAGATCACATTCTCCCTGGTGGCATGTGGATTTGCTGAAAAATCAAGCCCCTTTTTCTCCTGAGGAGCTCGAGTTCTCCCAAAGCCCTTCTTTATGAAATGGTGAGCAGACTTTGTCTCCTTTATTACTTTTACCCATTGATCTTGGTACTCCCCAAGTCAGCAGGTAAACTTCGATTTTGTTGAAACTATACAAAAGAAGTCTAATTCCTCTCCCATGATGGTGGTAGTGAGGTCTTAAATAACTGAAGGCAACTGTTATGTCCCTTACCTATGACTTCTTTGGCAGGCCACCATTTTCCCTGCTTGTCAACCTCCTTCTCCACCAAATTGCACTATTCTACATCATGCCTCAGCTCTTGAGGGACCTTGCTGTTGGGTAAATCAATTTCTTTAGTAATAAAACTACGTGCCTTTATTTTTGCTAGAAATTAAGCCCTAAGCTTTACAATTTGTCCCTTCATTATCTTGCTTTTCACTAAATTAAATAATGAACAAAAGGGACCACAAAGATCTTTCTGATATTTGCTAAATCAGGAGTTGAGACAAGACAAATAACTTAGATATTTTGCTAACAATTTTCTAGAAACTATTGGTCCAGCAGGCTTATTTCTATGTCCTCAAATATCCTTGTTAAAGTTCAGAATATTTGGCTGGGTAAGCCACTATCAATATTTTAAATTTAGCAATATAATGACTTTAAGAGTAGGATAATTTACTGTATTTTTACTGTATTGTTAGTGTCACTGTTAAGATACTCACAAAATTCCATCTTTACATCATTTATATGATCCACAGAGAGCAAGGGGCCTGCCTTTCAGTACTTGATCAAACCTGGAGCAAACCCAAAAGCATAAATGTTTTATTGCCGAGGTAACTTTGGATATTCATGTTAACAATATTTTAAGAATAATACAACAATTTCTCTAATAAACATGATTTTGATAAAAATGTAAATTTTGTCCAAGCAGTTCAGTTTAATGAATGATAATTATGATCACATGTATCAAAATTTTTAGGACAGTTGTAATTTCAAATATACTTTCCATAACTGCTTGTATTTGCCAGGCTACATGCTGCGTCATTCTTGGAAAATATAATTACTGGGCTTGCAATTTTAAAAAAAGGTTGGATGCTAAATTTAAATCATAGCATTTTGTATATTTGTTTGTTTATTCAAAAATTTAATACATGTTTATTCACCATTTATTATATTGCTAGCAGTGTGTTGAGTTCTGGGGGTATAATGGTGAATATAAAAAATAGAATTCCTCCCCTTTTGGAACTTAGGTTTTATGAAAGCAATCAGGATTACAGCCTACATCTGCCCAGTCATGTGCATAGACTGGGGATTCCTTGAGTCGTGTATTTTTGCAGCATGTCCAACTGCATGCTGTGGGTCTGAAAAAATATATTTATTCCAGTTAGAAATAACTTGAATACATCTTTATAGTACAGGGGACATGATAACAAATTTTATTTGGCATAAATTAGATAGTTTGGGCCTTTCGAGGCAGTAGGCAGAGAATGAAACATTAATTAGTTTATCCTACTCACAGGCCAGCAAATTTTTGGTACTGAGAAAAGAAATGTAATTCCAACTGATGATTGATCTGGAACCAGACCTCATAGGTCTTGACTCCCACCTGCTTATTATTAATTATTTTTGAGACAGAGTCTTGCTATGTGGCCCAGGCTGGAGTGCAGTGGCATGATCTCCCTGCACTACATGGTCACTGCAACCTCCGCCTCCTGGGTTCAAGGGATTCTCATGCCTTAGCCCCCTGAGTAGCTGGGATTACAGGCTTGGGCCACCACACCTGGCTAATTTTTTTTTTTTTTTTTTTTGAGAAAGAGTCTCACTCTATCCCCCAGGCTGGAGTGCAGTGGCATGATCTTAGCTCATTGCAACCTCCACCTCCCGGGTTCAAGTGATTCTCATGCCTCAGCCTGCCAAGTAGCTGGGATTACATGTGACTGCCACCATGCTCAACTGATTTTTGTATTTTTAGTAGAGACGGGGTTTTGCCATGTTGGTCAGGCTGGTCTTGAACTCCCGACCTCATATGATCTGCCTGCTTTGGCCTCCCATAGTGCTGAGATTTCAGGCGTAAGCCACTGCACCCGGTCCCCACCAGCTCATTATTTGGCTTCATAATGTTCAAGACCTTGGTGACATTATTTCAAAAGCAGTGAAATTTTAGTTATCTGTGGAATACAGGGTCAGAGAAAGATGGATAAATAAATTTCACAGATAATTAAAAAATCTCACTGAATTCATTTCTACTGCCTCCATCACCAACGTACATTCATTTGTAGCTCAAATTCACCTCTTTTGTCTTTCTATTCACCTCAAGTGAGAGTACACATGGGCAATTGGAGAGGAGGAACAAAGCGCTTGGGCAATGCATTCTATGTGAACTGACAAGGGAGTCACATCCTCCTCCAGTCCCATCCACTTGCTGGGAATTTAAGACACTTGCCCACGGAAGAGCACTTTTAGAATTATAAGTGCTGGGGCTCTTCTCTTAAGTATTTACGTTTTAAAAGTTAATCTGTAGGTAAATCCAAAGGAAAGGAGAGTCTGCTGTTCTACTTCTTTCTCGAGAGGTTTTCACTTACCACTTGTCACTTGCCAACAACTCTGAAAAAAATAACAGCTTGCTTTAATTACTGCAGCTGAAGAACAGTCTGTCAATAAAAACGTCACTATCTAATTTACAAAGAGGTGTAAGACTCAGGATACATTCTAAGGGAATTTAATGGTCGCCCCAAATAAGCAAGACATTTGACCATTATTGTCCCTAACTGAGTTGTATAGTGGGAACTCTGAGATACCTGAGTGAGCCCTTAATGTGAATATATCACCCGGGCATTCATAGGAGTATGTTGGAAGAAGAGAAGTGAGGGGCCAATGTTCCTGCAAAGAACAAAGGAACAAAGAATTCACAAATTTGCAGAAGAACCATATATTCTTAGCATCTGGCAGCGCTGAAAGCACGGGAACGGTGGGGTACTGCTGCAGGGAGGCTTTCCTTACATACCTAATGGCATATTTGGCTCCAAGAGGAAGATGTGAGACAAACTCCAGTCACAGGAATCTCGTCCTTTACGCAACCAACAAGCTGAGTCATGGTTGGAGAGTGTTATTTGTGGTTCCAGAAACTTGCTTCCTTTAGTATTCCGAACCAAATGAAATGTGTTTTTCACATCAGCAATTATTAAGAGTTTACAAGTCTCTTCTGAATAGGATCATAGTTCCCCAGTGTTCACTGGCAGGCACCTACTTCCTTTGCTTGTGAGCATGTATAGAATTCCATCTATATCTGTGTATAATTTATGTTTTCCCCAGTGGTTTGACTAGTGAGACACAGAAGTCAGGATAACTATCCAAGAGATACCATAAATACTTTCCCCTTTGTGGAGATATCCTCCTTCTAAGGAACTGATCTACCTGGGGATGGGGGGTGGGAGGTTAATGGAGGAGGAGAAGAGAGAAAGAATATGGGTGTACATGTGTGTATCTGAGTGTATGTATTTGTGTGTATTCGTGTGTGATTTTCTCTCCAAAATAAACTTTATTCTTTTTTAAAAATTCCATATAATTAACAAACATTTGTCAGTTATACATCAACTATGCACCTACTATGTGTCAGACTCTGGGTTAAACATTGAGTGTACACAGATAGGAGCCAACAAGGTCAAGACTTTACAGAGATTACATATTTGTTTTGGGCTCAAATAAAAAGATATGAAGCAAATCTTTGTTATATAATTTGAACTAGACTTGCTTCATACTTGGTGCCTAACCTGCAAACACTTAAAATTTTAAAAATCTATATATTGTTTGCTTAATTTTGTTATAATGAACATAAGATAAGGAATCTTCTGGCTGGGCGTGGTGGCACATGCCTGTAATCCCAGCACTTTGGGAGGTTGAAGTAGGTGAATCACTAGGTGAGGAGATCGAGACCGTCCTGGCCAACATGGTGAAACCCCGTCTCTACTAAAATACAAAAAATTAGCCTGGTGTGGTAGTGCATGCCTGTAGTCCCAGCTATTCGGGAGGCTGAGACAGGAGAATTGCTTGAGCCTGGGAGGAGGAGGTTACAGTGAGCTGAGATTGCGCCCCTGCACTCCAGCCGGGTGACAAAGACTCCATCGCCCCCCACCCAAAAAAAAAAAATCTCCCGTATTAATTGTAAGTATAGCTTGAATATAGGTGTTTGAAAAATTCAGTTATCTGTAAAGGCAGATTTGTAATTCTAATTCTGTTGACTGACATGATACAATATTAGTGAAAATGAAAGTTTGGCACTGTAAATGGTTATGAATTCTTTCAATGATATAAGGTGAAAGAGAACAAACTGAGATGAGAACCTGAGATTAATATAAACATAGCAAGAGCTCAAATGGAGAACATGACTGAGCTTAAGAGTA